TGTGGGCAGCCCCGTGTCACTGACGGGGGGGACCAAGCCCTTCCCTCGTGCAGCAGCCTCACGCGCCGACCCCCAGCGCCTGGAGGGGAATGAGGCCCTGCGGTGCGTCTGAGAAACACCACCTCAGCGCGCGAGGCTCCTTCTGCCATCAGCCAGTGCTGGAGCCTGCGCCTGTTTGGTAACAGCGAGGGGATTAACCCCAGCGCAGCTGTGCTGGGGAGGCGACGGGCTCCCTGTCGGGATCCATCATTTGAAAACTGCTCTAGGTTGGCCAAATGCAGGACCCATGGGGTGAAATCCTCCGCTGGGCCAGACCATCGTAGACCCGGCTGGCTGCAGGAGGAAGAGGGCACCAGTGTCAGGAGTTGCCTGTGCATCAAGGGAGGGAATTCGGTGCCTTAAAAGTTCTGCAGAGCTGGCTGGGGTCATTCCCGGAATTTCTTCGAGTGCCTGCTCACGTCCATTCCACGTAGGTGTGCACCGCGGGCACCGTTTGCCAGAGAGTTTCCTTCAGTGGTACCCGTCGGGCCAGCCATGGAGCCCCTGCATGTGTCCCCCGCTGGCCCTCCACCGCCCCAGGTCCTTCTTGCCGCTCCTGATGGTTGTTGGAGCTCCTTTCTCACTTGCCTGCAGTCGTGATCTCAGCGGTATCTCCCGCATTCTCAGTAGCTAGCACCTTGTTAAACCCCTTTGTTTTCGTATCCAAGTTATCTTCCCTGTTAGTGAAGTGGTTTGGGATGGGGCTCACCTGTTGTGTCCCCTTCCCACACAGCCCATGGGGCATGCCAGGGCACCACAGTTTTAAGCCCTATGCTGACTATTCCAATCCTATGCCCTGTGGTGACCCACACGATTTGTGCTTGGAGGCCCATGTCCCAGCTAACTGCAGAATCTGTCTTAGTTTCAAGCCCAGAACTCCGCGTGAGAGGGACTCGCGCTTGAAGATACTCCTTATGGAGTCGGTGCTTTGCCCAGCACCATCGTTGGACTTGGCACCGGAATCCCACAGTGCTCCGCCCTCGGTGTGGGAGACTCCTGGTTCCTCGGGGGCCTCGTCGGCCTCGGCGCCCCACGGCACGGCACCGCTCACAGCACAAGAAGAGGAGAGTGGAGAGGGGCAGCTCCCCACCTCACCGTGCGCCCCCAGTCGGGGTACTCTGTTGTGCCCTCACCGGCCGTGAGGTTGACGGCTCTGGGGCCGGAGCTTGGCCAGTTGAGCGTGACCAGGAGCCGCGGTGCCAGGGAGGAGTTGTTTTGGGTCCACCGGCCCTCCACTCTGGATACGTTCGAGGGCGTAGAAGCTGATCGAGTTGACGGCTGACTTGCCCTCACTTCCCCTGGAGCGTCAGAGCCGGTCTCAGGCCTGGGCCTCGTCAATGGCCCGTACCACCTCCCATACCGGCACACCGTGCGGCATGGCGTTCCCTCGCCTGGACATCAGTGCCAGCACCAGTGGCTTCTCTCTCTCAGCATTCCAGAGAGAGCTCGGCGTTGAGTGTGCTCATCCCGGTGGCCCAGTTGGTGACACCAGAGCCACTCGTGCCCCCTCTGCCAGTACGGCACCAGGGCAAGCCGGCCTCCATGGCCCAGCACGTAGAGAGGCTTTGGTCCCCAGGCCCAACCTCCACACTGCCGTGGTTGGAGTCTGATTACTCGTCATTGTCCGATATGGAGTCGGTACCGTCAAGGGCATCCCGTTCTCGCTTTCGGCACTGCTCCTCCTCCCGGCACCGGTCATGATCCCAGCACCGCTCCCTGTCTTGGCGCTGCTCCAGATCCCAATGCTGCTCCAGGTCTTGGCACTGTTCCCAATCACAAGGTAGCGAGCGCCGAGTCGGCGTCCCAGGCCTCTCGCAAACTTGGCCTCCACAGTGGCAACAGCTGTACCATCAGGCGCAGGGGAGCCTCCCCGCCAGGGCTGGCTCTGCACGCTTGGGGATTCGAGCCTCACCTCCGGCTACTCCACTGACCAGTGCCCCGGCACCGCAGCCCTTCGCGGTACGGGGGGAGTCCCCCACACCCCAGTGGGAGGCCATTGGAGCAGTCTGCCCCATCTCAAGCATCCAAGCGGCCTCAGCAGAGGGAGGACTCCACAGTGCAGGAGAACTCATCGTCCTCCCTGAATGAGGCACGAGGGTTGGCCTCATCATCAGCTCCAGCCATGGACTCCCGGGCCCATCAAGAGCTCCTTGGGAGACTGGGCCAGAGTCTGGGGGTCCAGCTCGAGTGGCCCTCCGAGGACTCGGCCCTATGGCCAACATTCCCAATGCTGAGGTGCCGTCCCGCATGGCCCTGCCGCTAAAAAAGACAGTGGGCAAGATCACAAAGACCCTCTGGCAGATGCCAGCATCTGCCCTGCTCACGGACATGAGGGCAGAGCGCTGGTACTTTGTCCCTCAAGCGGGCCATGAGCACCCGTTCTCCCACCCGCTACCTGGTTCAGTGGGGTGCAGGCAGGGCCACCCTGCCCCTAGCCCTAAGAACAGGGAAGCTAAGTGCTCAGACCTGTTGGGTCGCAAGGCCTGCGCCTCAGGCAGTGCCTTACTCAGGATCCATCGCTAGCCAGCAAGTCCTCCCGAGCAGATACTTTACTCCCAATACTTCCTGGTCCCAAAGGCCAAGGGCAACTTCCGTCCTAGTCTAGATCTGAGGGATCTAAATACCTTCATAGTAAAATCCAAGTTCAAGACGGTTACCGTGGCCTCCATCGTTCCTTCCCCAGACACGCGAGACTGGTACGCTGCCCTCGATCTCAAGGACACCTATTTTCACATTTCCATCGTGCCTGCATGCGGGCGCTTCCTCCGCTTCAGGGTGGGCCACGATCATTATCAGCTCACAGCCCTGCCCTTTGGCCTTTCCACGGCCCCCAGGGTCTTCACCAAATGTGTGGCAGTGGTGGCCGCGTTCCTGAGGAAGCGGCAGGTCAAGGTCTACCTGTACCTAGACAATTGGCTGAGAAGGGGCTCGTCCCCATCTCAGGCGGTCAGCCTTATATCCCTCGTAAGGGATCATTCCTCAAGCTGGGCCTCATACTCCACAAAGCCAAGTCTACCCTCATTCCCACCCAGGCGATAGAGTTCGTGGGATCTCTGTTAGAAGCGACAAAGGGCAGAATCTCCCTGCCCCCAGAGCACTTGATGGCAATAATGGACGCCATTCTGCAACTACAGTCATCCCCCACCATGATGGCCCGCTGTTGCATGAGGCTACTCGGGCTTCTGGCAGCCTGCACTTACGTGGTTCGACACGCCAGGCTCAGAATGAGACTGCTTCAACTATGGCTGTACCAGACCCACAACCCAGCTTTCCAGCATCCGGACGCAGTCGTGTCAGTGCCCGTGGACATGCTGAAATGCCTCGATTGGCGGCCCACGAAGGGATGCCGTTCATCACCCCTTCCCTGTCCATCCAGCTGGGGACATTCACCTGCGATACGGGCAGGGGAACCCACCTCGGGAAGCTCTGGACACAAGGTCTGTGGGGCTCCACGGATCTCTCCCTCCACATCAGTGTCTGAGCTGAGAGCTCTCCGCCTCGCTCGGGCGTGTTCCTACCGCAGCCCCGCAACAAGCACGTTTCGATTCTGGCCAGCAACACGGCTGCAATGTTCAGTCTAAAGAGACAGGCTGGTGCTCGCTCCTACCCCTGTGCAAGGGGGCTCTATTCCTCCGGGAGTTCTGCGTGGCTCACGAGCTTCACCCGGTGGCCACCTACCTCCCCAGGCTCGGACCGAGTTGGCGGGCCGCCTCAGCAGGTCCTTCCAGGGGCACGAGCAGTCTCTGAGGGCGGATGTAGCCCTCTCCATCTTCCGCAGGTGGGGGTTTCCCCACCTGGACGGGTTTGCTACCCACGTCAACAGGAAGCGTCCCCGGTTTTGCTCTATTTGGGCACAGCCCGGGGTGCCGATCCCCTGGCCTGCTGTACGCCTTCCCGCGGATTCCCAGAGTAATCCTTGGGCTCAGCGACCCTGATAGCCCCAGCCTGGCCATGGCTGCGTTGGTTCCCAGATCTCCTTGCCTCTGGCTCTCCCCTTGTGCCCGGAGCTACCCACGTCAACAGGAAGCGTCCCCGGTTTTGCTCTATTTGGGCACAGCCCGGGGTGCCGATCCCCTGGCCTGCTGTACGCCTTCCCGCGGATTCCCAGAGTAATCCTTGGGCTCAGCGACCCTGATAGCCCCAGCCTGGCCATGGCTGCGTTGGTTCCCAGATCTCCTTGCCTCTGGCTCTCCCCTTGTGCCCGGACCTGATCTCCCAGGAGTTCGGCAGGCTCAGGCACCCGAAAGCTCCATGGTTAACGGCCTGAGAGGCAGCCCTCCTGGGGAGCCGGCAGCCCTCCACCTGCTCTTCCTACCTGGAGAAGTGGGAACCGTCTGCGATCTGGTCGGGTGACAAGGGGGTTCCCCTATGGAGGCCCCCGGTCCCGGTTATCTTGGACTATCCCCAGGGCCTGGCTGCCTGCTCTGCGAGTCTCTCTAGCAGCCACCGCGCCTTTGCACTCTGGCTCGAGGGGGGCGGGGGAGCGTTGTCGCGGACCCCATGGTGCATCGATTGCTCAAGGGCCTGGGCAGGGTTTACCCCCAGGGGCGGAAACTGGAGCCCCCTTGGGATCTAAGTTTGGGGCTCTCGAGGCTCATGGTTCCCCCCTTTGAACCATTAGCCACGTGCCCCGGCTTGCACCTCTTCTGGAAGGATTCTTTCCTCGTGGCCATTACCTCAGCCAGGCGAGTGTCGGAAGTCCCGTCTACGGCCTTCTTCGGGGTGAGGTCAGGCTGGGCGCCACCCGCCCGTTCTTCCCTAGGGGGGGGCGCC